CTTTTTGCTTTAAAATATACAAAATAAATGTGTTAAAATTTTTCTTACTTTCAATAAAAGTGCGTTTCAAACAAAGAACAAAAAATTTCAAGAGTCAATAACCTTCCTAGCTATTCTTTATTATTGGTATTTTGTGAACCTATAAAGTCTTAACTAAATTCAAAAATACAATATGCAAATAGAAATTAAATTGAACTAACTGTTGAATAAATGTTCCTAGCGCAATGTTTTTTTTCCACTCAATGATATCCAAGCCGAAATTACACCGAATTAATTTTTATATGTTTTTTGCGTAAAGATATATCTTCTTAAAGTAAAAAGCATTTGAAATTATTTTATTTAACACAAAAAAAAATCATTGATTAATGAAAATTTAATTTGTCACTCATAAAGTACAACCCACCGAGTACAATACATATAATACATGGAAAATATGGCTGCAGACGTAAGTAATTTGACATTATTTGTAGATCTGTTTTAAAGAGTTGGACATATAAGCACCTGAATCATATGATTTTCCAAACTTAAGTGATTAAATTTACTTACTTACTGTTGTTCTCTTTTACTTGTGTTGCATTAGGCCTCTATCATGAATTCAAATCTTACTCTATTGCGTGCTTCGCGGCATACCTATATCATTCCAGTTATAATTTACATTATTGAGTTCTCTGTCTGCGCCAAGTTTGTGCTGGTGCACCAGGCCTTCTAGAGCCTCTGAGTGCTGTTCTTGCTATATGGTTCGCAGATCTACGAAGTGTTTGACCAGTTATAATGTATAGCATATTTCAAAGGAAGAACGGTAGTTTAAACTTATTTCTCTGTTTGTCTGAGTATCGTTTTTGAAACGCTTGACTTTTACTTCTTCTACATCAATACTATTATCAATTCAATAAGGAACATATTTATATCCTATTATTTATACCTCTTACAGCATAATTTATTTTAAAAATTTTATTTCAATAATTCAATAATTTCAATATTTCAATAATTATTTCAATAATAAAATTTATTTTATATATTTATTATATTTAATTTATAATATTAAATTTATAATCAAAATATTTCCTTGAAGATGACTATCGAATATAGTCGAAATATCGAAAAAATATTTAAATAAAATATAATTTGTTTTTAAATATATATAATAAATCATCGTTTTTTTTTTCGTATCTCTATTTAAATGACCAATTAGCCCACTAATTAATTATAAAATTTATAATAATTATTTAAAATCTTATTAAAAAACAATGCAGTATATTTTTATCCTTAAAATAACTATCTTCTATCTTAATATCTATCCATCTTAACTATCTTTTGCTTTTAAAAAAAACATCTATTTCTGCTTTTAAAAATATTAATGCACACTAAAACCACACGAAATAATTCTAGTCAAAGACCAGATGTTAAAAACACATAACGTGCTTTCCATAACTTACCTTCACTTAATCCTAAAATGTTGTTTTAAAGAATGTATATCACCTGCAGATGCTACGGATCATACCGATCAAAAGAATGTTGACGATAATTAAAATTCCTCTCTTACTTTTTATCATATGTTCACCTTTAAGATGTCTGCTTGAAATTCCTAGAGAAGCAACCAAACACTGCATTCCTTCACGCATCATCAGTTTTAATCCATTTTACATACAACAACAACAAAAAGGAATAATGTAAAAAAAAATATCAAAAGATACTGCATTAAAATCTTAGAGTAAAATCAAAAGTATTTTTAATGCTGTGTTGTATCTTTTTCATACAATGTTTACTATTTTCATTTCAAACAAATATTACTGTTGCTTATGGTTTTCTTTATTTGTGCACAAACATATCCTGTTGTTTCAAATTCCTGCAGGATATTTCAAAAATTTTTCAAATAACTTGTAATATAAGAAAAAATTTAAAATACTTTTGCATCGACTTACTTGTGAAGCAAGTCAGAGTATCTTTAGTAGAAAAGATGGATTTATAATTTTTTGCCATCGACTTACTTGTGAAGCAAGTCAGAGTATCTTTAATAGAAAAGATTGTTGCTTAGTTAAAAGAAAAAATAATGCCATTTAGAAATATGTTCCTGGCAGACAAAGTATTCTTTTAATATTATAGTGCAATATTTTCAAGGATTGTGTTAAAAGCGTATATTTTTCGCACCGTGTAATATACAAATGGAATCTATTAAATTTAATACAATTACTTTATTTAATAATAAAAGAAAATAAATATTTATTTTGTTTACTTTATCATTGCTATTGTCTGTCTGTGTATCTTTTTCTGAAACGTTTTCCTAAATGTTTCTAAATTCTATTCTTCCGCTAGGTAAACATTTTATTTGTGTTGCTATTTTTGAAGGAATTACCAAACTTTGGTAATTATATACAATTTCGACCCTTTTTTACAGTGTAGACATTGTTTATAATTTTTTAAATATGCTCGGGATTCCTTTTGTTATCCTTGCTTTTGCTATTAAAAACGGGCGTTGTTTAAAGTTTTCCGCTTTTGTTGGTACTCACAAAGCTTTTCCTACCTAAAATTTACGCGCAACAGCTGATATTCAAGTAATTATTTGGCATTAATTTTAGACACCATTTAAATCCTTTGAACCTTTATATTCTTATTTGTTTTAAGTATAATATTAACAATATTTCCTTTCTTTTACAGATTTCCTAGAACAACGACAACAAATGAGGGCATAAATACCATTGCCTTACGAAATGGTATCACAACGAATTTAGTGAGTTTAAATATTTTTTTAAATCTATTTTTATATAGTTAAATATAAAAATTAAATATTAATATTATTTATATATGATATTGGACAGCTTAAGGAATTTTTATTTTTTTTTATATACAAGTAGTCAAACTTTCATAACTCGAAGTACTGTATTGCAAAGAAAAGGTTCGATTTATGGAGTCTTCTAATTATGGAATATTTTTGACATTACATATAATTCTTCTTCTTACTTGGCACTACAGTCCAGTGTGTCTGGACTATCCAGTGTGAATGGAGTCCTGTTGCACTCCATTCAGATCGAGTAATAGAAAATTCAAGTTATAGAAGTTAGAGTTATGGAAGTTTGACTGTAGGCTTGGTCTAGTAACCCATGGGTTGCGAGAGCAAATGCAATGACAAATTTTCAACTACGTAATGGCGGTTGCAGGTTTGAACATTGATCAAAATCTCTGCCATAAATATACAATTGAAAGTAAAGTAAAAAAATATATTCTTAACAATCTTATTATAAAACTTTTCTTATACACAAACCACAGTTTTCTTCTATAATATGTTCATAAGCCATATAAAATAGATATATTCGAGGGTAGGAAATTTTTTGTTACTACAACTAAAGTGTATATCATTCTTAAATTTTATTTGTTTAAATATTATAAGTTTGCTGCTTTTAAATTGCAGAAACTTCATCACTGTTTGACTAATCACACCCTCAAGTGATCTAATAAACCATTAAATTACTTTGGATGACCACATCACATATTAGCCAACTTGAGTTAAAATTTTCTTTTTTTTTACTTAAATAAATTTTTTTTTTGCTTAAATAAATTTTTATTTTTTGCAATTTGGTCATGGTTGGTCAGTAGACTAAATTCGTTATTATTTGCCTACATTTCATATTGCTAAAGTTAATCCAACACGCAACAAGATTGTGAAAATATACATTCTTCTTATGGAATTTTTATTAATTCACCTAATTGAAAGTAGCACAAACATGATTACTACTTTTTTTCTAATTATTACTTTTTGCCACAATTTAATAAATTAATTATAATATTCTTAAAAATGAGTTTTTACGATATAATTTTGCTTGATAAAATCTGTATAAAGCTAATAATCTTGATCTATAAGGTGTTGGTTGAGAAATCGTGGAAGAAACAAATTGTCATAATTCTAAAGTAAAGTATTTTTTCTGTTTTGATTAAGCCTATATGTATTAGATATATACATAGTTCTTTATAAGTAAATTGAATTAAAAAGTGAAAACTTATAGTATTTAAATCTAAAATGAATCCTATAAAGAAAGATAGCTCCGTTGATACATTATAAAAACAGTCAATAAAAATTAATTATGAGAAATAATCAAGTTTATCATCATGATAATGATAATTAATATTTTTGAAAAAAATCGTATAAAAATTTTCATTATTTTCAAATGCCTTTAAATACTGCAAATCAGACAAAAAGTCGGATACTCTTACTTCATACTTTAATATTTAAGATTTATTATCCTAACAGCTACTTTATAATAATGTTTTGTCTCAAATTATTCCTTTTTAAATGTAAAATTGATATCCACAGATTTTAACACAAACCCAAAATAATAAAAGATGGAAAGACTCAACGATATGCAGGAATTTATAGCAATCTGGTTACTTTCTACTAAAAGGAAATCTGATATTCTCATTGAGACGCACCGTAGAGATATCAGTCTTATGGTAGGCTTATATATATATAATGGGACATTGGGACAGCGTATTATCCAACAAGTGGCCCCACTGAGGTGAAGGATTAGTCGAAGTAGACCACGAAACGACTTGTGTCCTTTTTCGTCCTTCGATTCTCGAATGTCGTTATTGTGTTAAAGCTGGAGTGGCTTCCGTTCGCATAACTACATCTTTTGTTAATACAAGCAGCTCATTTAGCTTGAGGTTAACTGCCAACTCATCACCAACCCAATGGTATCCCAAGACAGTCTTTCTCCTACTTGCTAGTGCTGGACATTGGCACAATACCTATATGCACCACTGTCTCCTTTTCTTCTAGACATAGTCTGCAAGTGGCTTCCTCAGCAAGAGTTATCTTTTTGAGGTGATACTTGAAGTTGCTATGTCCAGTAATTAGTGAGGTCAGTCAGCTTAGAATGCTCCGCGAATAGCTAAGCACTTTTATAGCTTTTCTGGCCCACGGTTTCGGCAACATGAGTTTGGTCTGTATAGGCTTACTTACAGGTCACTGCAGAGTAGGTTAACATGCTAGAAGATTGAATCTTCCTTTTAACCTGTCGCAGCTGTGGAGAAGACGATGAAACTGCCTCTCATCTACTCTGTCTTTGCGCACCTCATGCAAGGCGGCGACTCAACACTTTAGAAGCCCCCTATCTTGACGATCTTGATCAATTACAAGATCTCCCACTAAATAGCATTCTAAACTGAGCCAACGTTTCAAATTGATTTTAAATTCTGAGTGTCCTCTATATACGATAACACAATGGGCCAATAGATCTCAGTGGATCCACTAGAGCTCGCCGGTATAACCTAAACTAACCTAATTTAACATAAACCTGAGAGTGTATAATTTGACCATTAGGAATATTAATATATGGTGTTATTTATTATACAAAAACTATTAATTTCTTACAAACACACAAATTACTTATATATTATTTTTCTACTATGTATATTCATGCCTAATTTGAAAATTAAGCAATAAAATAACAGATGCATTTCAGAACATTTGTTCAAATCAATTTATTGCAGCATACAATTTTATTGCGAACAATTAAAACTCAACTATAGATACTTCCAACTGTTCATTAACGATACATTATTTACATAGTCGTACATTTTCGCTTAGGTAATTTTTATTTAATTACCGCAGCAGTAAATGCGTTACAAAATGTTTAAAAATGTGTAGCGGCATTAACAGCAAATATGTTAGTATCTATCTATAAGTACACGCGACTCATAAATTTATTCAATACATTTCTCAATTGTATCTCGCCTCGTTAGAAGCACTTACTCATGTAGCTTTTCGCTTCAGCTCCCGCTTTTCACTATATTGAGTGTGGCAAATCATTTCGACTACAACAGGTTGCACCTTAATTTCATTACATGAAAAATATATACCATACATGCCGGTTTATACATCCCTGGATATGTGTATCTGTAGCAGATTTTACTATTTTACACTTTTAATTATAATTGCATCAGTGATGCCGTTAATTAAATTTTGAAGAATTCTTTGTACAATTAAGAACGTTCATACTCATTACTCCACAATTACAGTACACACATCTGTACGTTGAAGAGTGTAATTAGAAGAAGAAGAAGAAGCGGTTTTCACTTCAACCGATGTAATTAAATTTTTCTTTAAGTAATGTCTATAAGTATCTGAAGTAAAAGAAGTTATAAGTGAAATATATATTTTATTTTGTTTCTGTTTTTGTTGTATCTACAGCAATTTTAATAGAATTACTTCCGTAGTTTATATAATACATCATTAAGTTAGTAATATTTTGAGAATATTTTCTTTGCAGCTAATGAAATGCAGATGTATATATAATTTACCAAAAATCGAAGTTTTAAACATTTCTTAATATAGAGTCTAATAAAAAAAAACAGTTCAGAGTATTGTTCAGTTTAAATAATGGCTAATAGATATAATCAACTAATTTTAAAAACAATTCCTAAAAAGTTTTAGTAATATATTATTCATTTATCTGTAAATCTGAAGAACTAATCTGAGACAAAACTAGTGATCTACATCAGTAGTATATAATAATAAGGAATTATTTTCGAAATAACTAAAAAAAAATTTTAATTTTTTATGTTACACAGTTTTTCAGTTTATACAACTGTACTTATATAGTTATAAAATATAGGTAACCATATTTAATTAATTCAGAAAATGTTTATAGATAGTTCCCAAAAAAATTTACTCGAATTTTCAACTTCTTTTTTCTATTTCTGAAAGATTATATTAATTTCAGTTGACACTGACAGAATACTAATATATAAGTAATAACTGCGGTTCTAATCAAAATTAAATCTTATAATATCATTGAATATAATTTTTAAAAAAGATACACAGCACTTACATCGTCAAGATCCATTGTATTGTGAAGCTAGGTGATATAGTCTATGTAAGTAGTAACTGTAGTTCTTATTCGATTAGTATTTTTTTAGAGATCATATGTTGTTCATATCATGAGGATATGATTTCTGCAACAGTTACACAGCACTCAGACCGTCAACGTATGATATAGACCATATAAGTCGGCAAGTGTTAAGTATGGTTCTCATTCATTTGGTATTTTTTGAAATATTTATGGTTCTCATCCGAATTTTTTTTTTTTTTAATATAGTGAAATAATATTTTTTTCGAAGATTAAACATTTAATAATAATTGTTCGTAACATGAGATGTGATTTTTAAAAAAAGATGTCCAACACTCAGATCGTCAAGGTCCATTGTACTAGGAAGCTGGCGATATAATATACATGAGTTATGCCAAAAATGCTTAAATAATATAAGTCAAAATTTCAAATTTCATTCGTCTATCTCGAAATCTGAGACTAGTTTGCGCTGATACCGTTTGTATGTGTGAAAACTCTCATATAAATTAAGTTAAACGTTAAGTTAAGTTAACAGTTAAACGTCCGGGTGAACTTCCTAAACTCACTCATATACAACATCCAATTGGTTTTCCTATATCGGAACAGGCAACCTATGAAATCTAATTGTCGGTTCTATTTCTATTTTTTATCACAAATCTACGACGTCTAATCTGCGACTCTTCTCTTAGAACCACTCATCTACGACGTCCAATTGCGACCTTCCTCTTTGAACTATTCATCTACGACAACTAAACTTCACTCCTATCCAAGATAACCAATTGCCAACCTGCTAACAGAAATAGTAACATGTAAAGGAAGTACGTTACTGCCTTTACCAGATCTATTTTTTTTTTGAACTATTCATCTACGACAACTAAATTCCACT